AATTTTTTTATTGCTGTTTTTGCACAATATGCTTAACTAAGTATTTTTTGTTGTTGAATATTAAAGATTTTGCAGATATATTTTTTATACATGCATTGTTTAGATTTACTTATATATTTCTACCCCTTTTATAGAAAAGAAAATCCAAATTCTTGGTTGTCTTACAAATTCTGACAAGGTCATGATACACTGATATTTGAAAAAGCTCTGAATTCTGCCCTTAAGCATGAACCTCCATCTACACTTGTTTGATGCTTTAGCCAATGCTAGATCAGATCACTAGTTTCCCTGCAGCAAGAAGGCTGTGGATTCAAATCCCAGCCTATTTACATGGAGTTTGCATGCTCTTAAGAAAATATGAATACTTTTATGTTGACAAAAGCTCAGAATTTATCAAGAACTGAGACAAGAGTGGCAAAAAAGAATTTTATTGGAATATTTTTCTCGTAATAGCCGACAGAATATCAAATCTTTTTAGAATAAGTTTAAACAGCCAATCTAGGACTACGTCAATAACATTATCAGCAGTAATGTTAAAGTCCAAATACCAGCCTGAAAGAAAAAAGCATTACTGTTTGCATCTTATGCAGGAAACCTTGCAAACAAGAAAGGACAGGGGGAAACATCTTAAGTAGCTTCCTGCATTCCCTGGAGCAGGTACCTGTGCAAAACATTCAGTGTAAACGGAGCAGCTGCTCTCACGTTTATAGTTTTTCTGTAGCTGATGAGTCAATGTTTTCTCCTTTACATTTTCCGCAAGATGTGGCCTTCCTAAACATAGTCACATCGAAAAAGCTTTGATTCAAAAAGGAAATGAACTGCAAATCTTATTGTGGTTTTTGGAGTTATTTTATATATTGATGGTTATAGGTGGGAAAGATCTCCTGTAGCGGTCCGTTTTACAGTGGATCTGGGAATATATACCTTCAAATAATCTACAATCAGTTTGTTTTCATTTTAATGTTTACTAAATTGTAATTAATATATAAATCAGAGTACATTTGGTTCTTTAACATTTCTCTTGGTTCCACATTAAACAGAAAATCAAATTCCAAGAGGTGTACTAAATCTTTTCCAGATTAGCTTATCTCTCTTCATATGAGTCACTGTATACACACTGGATAGGGTATGCAGCCCCACACTCATGCTGGTATGACAGATTCTCCAAGCATTTTCCTCAAACAAACATATGATTTTGTCTTCAGGGCATGTTATAGATTCCAGACAACCTACATAAATGGTCGTGTCTCCACAATAACAGGAGGGTTAGAGCGCTTGCTGCAACTGGTACAACAGAGATGATTAACATTAGGCAAATTCCAGAAGAAAAAACAAAAAGTCACAATGCAAATGGCTGCATCAAACTGCAGCACATCTACAGTCAAACATGAAACAAATCACATGCAAATCTCAACAGAATAAGTCTTTTCCATGTTCTTATGCTACTAAACATTGTTCATAATACAGGCAACTCTAGAAAGAGCAACATCAAAAATACTCAGACTCTCAGTGACTATTAGGCAGAACACAGGAGGATGTCGCCGAAGAATGACGACCAACTGAACCCAAAACTGGTCAAGTAACTTGCTCTTACTGTAACTCCCATAGCGTTATAGCTGAAACAAAGATATAGAGTACCTTTTAGGTGGTCACCATTTGAAACAATGGCTTCCTGAGAGATGGAGCTTCCTTGAATTGTACACCATTTCCACTTTGTGACAGAAAACACAAAACCTTGTAAGTTTATTTTTCCACTTAACATTACACCTATTACTTTTCTTTTTTTGCAGAGCCCTCCTAGAAGTCAAAGTTAGGGTGCTGTTACAGTTTCCTGTCTTTCAGTGCTTCCAAAAATGTCATATCATTTTAATCGTTCAAAAGAGAGATTAATATATCTAAAAACTTAGTTGCTTATAAAATGATGCTTAGTTTTTGGGCATGCGTGTACTGGAAAAAGAGATTACACTCTCAGTTCTCTACTGTATCTGGTACTGTAGGCGCTGATTACATTTGCTGATAACAGTCTCGTTCTATTTATTTTTCTCCACACCATTTCTCTGCTCATGTATGGATTAAAGTTTAATGCTTTTAATGCTGCCCAAGAGTGCCCCCAAGTGGTCAAGTAATGAAAGAGTTGATTAAAATATGAGGTTAAGCCGACACCACACCAGTTGCGTACGACTTTTCAATCCCTGATCTGATTTTTCTTCATGTCACACTGACTCTGCAGAGTTCTTTTACACTTCTGCCTCTGTGCCATACAAATTAAAACAACTAAAACAAACAAAAAAACAACCGGCTAAGCTATAGAGCAAATCACCAATCATGGGTATTCCTTTTTATATTTCATTGATTGTTTTTTTCATGAGTCTGTCCAACTTGCTATAGTATATACACAGCATGAATTGCCCGTTCTCCAGTGCATTAAGCTAATTTTATTTTTGCATTTTGAGTATCTCTTTTCCTGTCAGATCCATGAAATTACAGCTGAACTGCTGAATAGTCAGACAAAGATCTCAGTCAAAGCTACACAAGCCCTCTCACAACATTGTGTGGGGTGCGATCATTCCCATGATTTTCAATGAGCACTAAACGCCATGACGTCGTCTGATACGATATATACCGTCGTACTGGAAATAAATCAGATTCAGTGTGCTCAGACGTTTAGCGTTAATGGGATATTGTTTAAATGCATTTGGGCATGCAAAGCTCAGTGAATCTTCATCAGCACAGACAGAATGTCTGCGTTGTGTCACAGTTTAGTAGTTATTTCTATACTGAGGTTTATTTAAAAAATAAATGGCAGACAAACCAGGATATTAAACAGCATGCTCTTAAAAATATGTTGCAGTGGAAGACTAAATTACAAAGAATACCACAGAGGTTTATACTAATTGTTGACGGCCAGTATCCTCTTGGCCCAACTGCATCACTAGCATTTCATCACCCTCTACAGAACTCCACTAATAAACTAGTGTTTCAGTCATGTGTTTTAAATCAGAGATGTCAAAAAGATTGCGGGACAGCAGCCTTCAGTATATATTGTTCAGAGGCGAAAGTGAAACCTTACTTTCCTCGGGCAGCATAAATTCCCATGCCAATGAAGACATAAGTTATGGTGCGACGGGTTCCTTAGTTGTGAGCATGATTGAAATCAAATCAAATTTGTATTGCAGGATATTCTTTCGAACTGACCACAGGGGGAAAGGGATGATTAACCCTTTAACACCAAATGATATTTGATATATGAGTTTTTGAGGCCCCTACAACATCAGTGTTGCATTTTTTGTTTTTGAAAAACGTAACTTATACATCAGTCACCATTAGGGCTGAAAAAATTAATCGGATTAATGATGATTAATCAATTATTGAAATAATCAACTAATTTATTAATTGAATACTCATTAAATGGAATAGAGACTGTAAAACATGCCATTAGGTGACAGAGCAACCCATTTAGAGCAAAAATTATATAAAAATTGTAAAAAAAAAAAAAACAAAAACAAAAAAAACATATGAACCTTTTGCATTTAAGATAAAAAAAAAAACAAACAAAAAAAACAAAACGTTTTCATCTGTCAATATGCTCTATCCAGAACTCCTTGAATGGAATTGTTTCAGGTTCAACTGGTTAATTTCGTAAAAAAAAAATCTTCTTTAAGTAACCTTTGGCTATCCAATTATTAATTGACAAAAAAATTATCGACAGATCAATCAATTTGCAAAATAATTGTTAGTTGCAGCCTTAGACACCATACAGATGATGTAGTGAACAGAAACCTACAGTTAAATGCATGGAAAAGCCTAACATAGTACAAATGATAGAAATAATGGATGTTGTTCGAAATGGATGTTTTTGCTTACATTTGTTCAGTGTTCAACGGCAACTCTAGTTTGAAATTTTCTGACAATTATGTGCAACTCATGAACGTAGGCGTTAGTCATCAAGGGGGAGGTCGCAGGTTCTGCTTTGATAACCTTTACGGCATACTTTTCCCCTCTCTCTAATCTCATTTTCTGTTTGCAGAGTATCAACTATAAAAAATAAAGGTCCTTTGTACACAGAGAGAAAAAACTCAAAAAAAAAAAAAGAAAGTCTATTTTGGTCTGACGTTTACTGTTGATCTGAAAACCGTGAGCTTAACTTAAATAACAAACGAGAAAAAAATTGACTGGTCCTACTTTTGATAAAAGTTATTACAGAACACTGGACAAATTTGGTTTTCTTACAATGGCCAAAGAGATATTTAGGAACAAAACAAGAAATCACATGGTTTGTGAAAATGTTATCCCTTTAACAAAGATATCACTTAAAACCAAAAAAGTAGGTGGATCAAACAGCTGCAGAAGATTCAGAAAGCTGCTGCTCACATCTTCACTAAAACTAAGATAGTGGAGCACATCAGCTCGGCCTTCAGTCCTTCCTCTGGCTCCCTATATCTCAGAACAGAGCACCCACACCTCTCAGGTCCTCTGGCATAAATCTTCAGAGCCAAACATGGAGCAGCTTGTAGTTCTTATTCTCCACTAAACTGGATAAACTGCTAGAAAACTGTAAGAGTGCTGAAGCCCTCAATTGCTTTAAATTGAGATTAAAAACATAATGGCTTTTGACTGTGCTACCTAACATTAGCAGTTTAGGTTTGTAATCCAACTTTTGTTCGTTTTATTATCAATCATTATCCCTTTTTTACCTATCTAGCAATATAATTTTCCCTGTGTTTTAATATATACAGCACTTTGAACTGCCTGGCTACTGAAATATGCAAAATCAATTAAAAGGCCTTCCCTTGCGTTTAGTATCTATAGATTTACTGCTATAGATTGAACTGTGGGGTTTCTGATTCTACATGAGGCAACTGAGAAAAAAGATTATTGAAAAAAAAACAAAAAAACAACTAATTTATGCAGAGCAGGATTAGATACCTGAGCTGTTAAGGAACACTTTGCTTTCAGTTTTCACAAGTTTCATACATAATTTGCAATAATTTTATTCATTTTCTTTGTTCAAGACCAAGGATCTTTTTTTTAAACTAACTGAAATACAAATAAGAAATAAAACAAAAGAGAAAAAAAAAAAAAACAGCAGAATGTGGAGTGCTACAGTAAGGATGGATAAAATGGTGGCAGACAGGTTTGAAAACCTTTCCAAATTAAGTTTTTGTAAACCAAGATGCACCATCAAAACGTGCAAGATGCTACAGAAAAATAATTACATGTGCAATTTGATTCTCATTCAGTGCAACAATATTCAGATCCAAAATATATTTCTGCATTTTGTTGTCTAAATTCTTTCCACCATATTACTGCTCTGAGGCAGTGGAATGGTAAGGTAAGAGATGACGTGATACAAACAGCATACGCTTCAGGGTTATGTATATTGTATCATAATAAGGGCAGGGCTTTAAAAAAAGATGCCCCTACCCGTCATTCTAAACCGAAGAAGCTGAGTTTATAGTCACTGTTACAGTAGCTTTCCATATTAAAGGGAAAAGGCACATTAGTATGTTAAAACGATTACAACCATCACGGTCATTGCCTGTTCCCTCTGCTGAGGGGGGCAAACAGGATTGGCTGCCTAAGCCATGACTTTCTTCTTGCACTCCACAGAGCAAAAGAGGCAGTTCTTCACCGCCATGAAGCGCTGACCAATCAGGCACTTGGTGCAACCGGAGCACTTGAAGCACTCTGGCACTGCGTGCCAGTGGTGCTCGCCGTAGGAAACTCTCTGAGCCTCAGGCTCCACCGCCTTCTGGCAAGAAGCACATTCCTGGGGAGAGGAAGGATATCACAACACTCAAACAGCCATACTCACATTTTAATATCTTACATATAAATGAAACATCGCTATGGCGCTGTCACGCCTTGACGATTTAGCCAGCATATGCCGACATATGAAAGATTTGGCAAAAATGCTGGTTATGGGAAAGTTTTGTATAAGTTATAGGCACGCTGGCACTTGTCGACATACAGCAAGTACACCATGTATGCTAGTGTATGCTCATACGCTGGCCATAAGTTACAGGTAAGTTATCTGATGGTGGAGTCTAGCTTATCCAAAACCTATGAGTAAATTGCATAACTTATCAAGAACTTATCTCTAAAGAATAAGCGTAGAGAAGTGTTCCAGACTGAATGTGTCTTTAACTTACAGCTAGTGTATAATGGTGTATTGGCAGCATTTGGTATAAAGGAGGGTTAACAGGAGGAACCCGTCAGTAATTCTTCAGACGTTCCACAAGACATGGAGGATACGGCAAGACTAAGATGGCAATACATACTAGCTGTCTTCCAACATCAGCATGATGTCATCAATTGGACTCTATTCCAGTTGTGTGCTAATAGGGCCAGAACAAGATGAAGAAGAAGTCATCAGCATTGAAGGGTCTGACCATGTATAGGATGCGATGGCAGTTTGGCATGTTTGATCAGCTGATGCTGGAACTCCTTTGAGAAATCATCTTTTTGTGCGTTACACATACGACATAAGTTCTGGACTTGTTATGAATACTCTATGTAAACGCCCAAAATAGAAAAAATACATAGAAAGTTCTGCATATGCCAGAGTTTTAAGAGATTCTGGGACGTCAGGGATACGCTGGCTAAATGATCGAGGTGTAACAGCGCCATTAACTGGAACATTTCATCCAAAATTTTAAGATATAAAAACTGGTATGGAGGAAGAAGCAGATGTAAAGCCACTTTATTTTTTTAAACCAAAGTACACTCATACAGCAAGACTTTTTAAAGCTAAATCCTTTAAAGAGAAATTTAGAAAAAGTTTGCATAATCCCTTAAATGATCAACTCTTTGATGTTTTACCTAGATGTTTTATAGCAAGTAAAATGTTACCACTTCAATTATTTTAGTCATATGATGCAATACAGAAATCTAAATGTTTTAAAATAGATTGAAAATAAATCAACCAAAATAGTCACCAGAGTTGATATTCTGCTGAATTTAGGTTGTGATCCAGGAATAGATTTGCAGGCAGCAGAAAACAAGGGATCTGTTTTGTCCATTAAACTGCAACATAATTCGTCATCTTCCTGTTTTGTTAGTGGAAAAACCTCTGACTGATGAGAACAACACTGATGTAGCTTCATGCAGTCAATTTTTTATAGATTCTGAATGTCAATCAACTTTAATTCTACAGGTTACATTAAAGAGAATATTTATTTCATCGCAGGTTTCTGCAGTTATGATGGTTTATTAGCTAAAGCTGCTCAACATTAAATAATTTCAGTCTTTTTTTATTTTTGAAAGAGTACAAAATTCTTTCGGTGTTCCATTTCAGAATGGCAACTTGTTCCTGAAATAAGGGCAGAGTAGAGCCTCACCGCAGCATAGTTTTTCATGTAGCAGGGTTTACAGATGGGCTTGTCCTTCTCCATCACATACGTCTCTCCAGCCAGGATGCAGTCACAGTCAAAGCAGCAGAAATGTTTCAGATGCCAGTTCTGCCCCTCAGCTTGAGTGTACTCGTTACTAAAGATCAGCTGTGGACACAAACAGAAATGAATCAAAATCTGCATTTTATGCCAACAAAGCCTCCGTTCCCAAACTAACTCATTACCTCATCACAGCCAGAGCATCGAGGCTTCTCGCTCTCTCCATAGTGCCGTCCGCAGAACATCTTGCCCTTCTTCCAGAAGTAAATCATATCCACCAGTAGTTCACTACAGGTGCAGCACACAAAGCATGCTGGGTGCCATAGTTTGTCGTAGCCGGCCCGCTCAGCATAAACGGCCGGCTCTCCCAACAGCATAGGCTTCTTACAGTGATGGCATGACTTGAAAAGAAAAGGAGGAAAAAGTGTTAAAATAGGGATGTAGTAAAGGTAGAAAAGATCTACCACTTCCATTGGATGATGAGTTTAGCCATTATATTCCAAATCAATCCTTGTTTGATGCTAAGCTATCTTCTATAACATTTAGGTGAAACTGATGAGTCTACAACAAATGCAGACATGTTAACCATCATGGTCAAATTTGTTTCTATTCTTTGATATAATAGCATTTTCACTGTTCTCTCAGTGAGAACAGGATTCAGGCAACTCTTGGTGCCAATTCTTGTGTTTGATCTGAAAACTGAAAAGTATCGCCGTGACTATAAATCACTTTATAAAAAGCAACAATGTTTGTTCCACATATCACTATTACGACATAGGGTCATTTCACTATTTTGCCACCTTAGTCAAACTGCACTAAAGATTGGACTGCTCATGATGCTGCAGAGTTTTTTGTCCCAGATGTTCTCCCAATGACCTCCCAGTCAATCAGAGAACAGGCACTTTGACCACAGCTGGCCTCATGGCTCCCCCCAGTGTCCAGTCTGGGAATGTCACCATCACTTGTTTTATTTTTTAAGTACTGATCACAGTGATGCACTGAAAGAGAACTGGGTCCCTATAGAAATCTAATAACTTTATTAATTAGGCCGTCACTCGAACAACATTCATTCTCACAGATGTCAGTTTGTTTTAAGGTGAGAAACAAAAGGCTCTACTAGAAAACACAAATATCTAAAGATTTCAAACCATGTTTGTCTGAATCCAGCTGAGTGGGTGTGCTGCTGTCTCCAATGGCTAAAACTCAAACGGTTTACCTCCAAAAACATGACTTCACTGCACAGAACTGTCTTATTTAGAGAACTTAATAGTTTTGCACAATTACTACTTGACTTTTCTTGGGAAATGTATCATATAAAATAGAAGATATACTTCGTTTATTGAAGGAAGAGTGATGAGTCAATTAAAAACATCAACAAGTATGTGTAAAGTGGGTGAACCATGTACCATTTTTTCCCCCTTTTCTTTTTATTTAGGCAAAACTGATTGGAGAAAAAAAATACTTCTAAAATAATTTTTGAAATGGGATTGCTACCCACACTTATGGCAGAGTGTAAAACATGCCATTTGCTGAAAGAATAACATGCCTACAGCAATAATTAACACAAATCCACGGAAAAATATCAAAAATTTCCATTTTCTTAATATGTGCACAAATGTTCTTATGGCTATTTTTCTGATTTTTCATTTACAAAATTAATTAGAAATGCATAATAAAGTATTTTTACTATATTCAAAACATTTGTTTAGTTAAAATTTTTTATCTAAATATATTATATTTATTATTTATTTTACTGAAAGCATCTGTTCTTAAATTCATTGATTAATTCAAATGAACATTGATATATTAATCAAATAAGCAAAGACCCAGAAAAGAGAAAATTCTAAATAAACATTAGAATTTAAATAAGTGTGGACTTTTTATATTTTGCTTAAAATTAAGTGGGAATAATTCAGATTAAAATCCAACGGGTTTCAGGACCTTTTTGTTACTTTTCTCTTCAGCAGAAGTTTTATCTTTGAAAATCATGATTTAAATTTGCAAATACATTTCTTTTTTATCAAATAAATTGATCATAGGATGGAGGAAAAGTCAAAAGGACTAAACTAAATGTAATCTTTAAGAACATGATTGAGATCTTTTCAGGGGGAAAAAAACAGACCACCATAAATAAGAAGAGCAATTTAAAGAAAGTTCTTACAAAGTTCTTCTGTGGAAGTCCGACTGACCCGGCAGTAGCAGTACCCATGGCTCCTCCTGCTGGTCTGAGACCAGCAGACTGATCAGTCCCAGAACCTGAGGTGGGTCCTGGTCCAGCTCCCCTTCCAGCAGGTCCAAATCCACCAACACCAGAACCCGCAAGAACTGGGCCAGAATTAGCTCCACCAACTTGACCCCCTGGTAAGATTCCAGCCACTCCAACACCAGCACCAGGCCCAGATGCAGACCCTCCGAGTTTACCGCCGGCACCTGGTCCCCCTGCCTGGATCTGAGCCATGTCCTCCGGCAGCAGGACGTCTCCGACTCCCAAGGCCTCATCCTTGCATTTACGCACATACTGCTGCATCTGCTTCACCTCAGCAGGGCTCAGCTCGTGGCACTTTGAAGGGTCCTGGTCGTGTTCAGGCAGCTGACGATCCATCTGCTGCCGGCGGTAAGCAGCCCCCTCTGTCCCGGCGACCGGACGCTTCTCAGGTGGGAGCAGCTCGATGTAACGCACAGCCTGATGGAAGGCAGAGATATCGGATATACTTCAGTTCCTGAATAAAGAAGGATGTTTGACCGACAGAGGCGAGGGAAGAGCAGCACAACCAATCAGGAGAGACTAAACAGAAACTGTTCTGCCTTGAATCACACAGAGAGCCACAACACGGCTCCTTAAGACAAAACTCCAGACTAAACAAGGACAGGAGAAGTAAAGGCCGACCGGGAACAACCAGAACAGGTTTTACATTTCAGAGACTCACATGTTAAAATATTTTTTTTATTATTTCAACTGTAAAAATGTCACCTGCAGGTAGGGTTGTCAAAAGTATCGAAACTCAAAAAAGTATCGATACCAAAATGTTGTATCCGGATACAATACTCATTTTTAAAAGTATCGATACAGTGCCACTACCAATGGCACCTAAACAGTCATTCATCTAAAGTGCAGAATAGAGGAAAATGCACAATCAGAACACTGTGTGATTGAATAATTCTGTGCACTTTTCAGTTTCAGACTTTTTTTTTTTTTTGTAAGAGGTACAGCTGCTGAGAATTATTTTTGTTTTTTAACCAGTTTGGCTAGTGTCATTGTTATGTGTGCAAAGCATAGCCAAGGAACACTTAATTTTAAATTTGTAAGTTTTTTATCAAGCTTGCTTAATATTGTGCACAGCATACAACAGTTATTGTATTTATTTATTGTATTATATTTATTAATGAAACTTTTCTGTAGAATTTTGGAGTCTTTGTTTTTTTCCTTGTGGTATCGAAAATGGTATCGAGTATCGAATATTTTCCTTAGCATCGGTATCGAGTTGAAAAGTTTAGTATCGTGACAACCCTACCTGCAGGTACATATGGTTGTGACTGCAGTGAGAAACACGCCAATATTGGTAAAAAAAATATCACCCAACCGATGCAATAGTCTATCTCTAGTACTGATATCCAATCTGAAATTTTTGTATTATGACCACCCTTCACACACACACATAATAGCCTCATAAAGCAAATTCCATATCTAAGAAACAGCCTGTTTACAGTGCATAAATATGTTTCAACAACCGTTTTCCTGCATTGACAAAAGGCAACATAATTCCTTTAGTAACCACTGCGCATCGCTGTAGCGCTGTAAAACTAACCTTACAAAAAATATAAAAATAACTCCCTCACTAACATCTAAGAGTGATATAGGCTCAAATCTATTACTTGCAGCAGTAACAGATTACTTAATAGATTGCTAAAACTGGTTCTCAGTTCTACTCCGAGAAACGGTCGGTAACATACCAGAAATAAAGTAATTGAGGGGCACAAAGATTTTTGGGCTACAAAAACTATGCATGTATTGTTAGATTACTTCAACAATTTTAAAATGTCCAGACACAATGTAAGACCTTAATATCAATCGGGACAAATTTTTACAGTTATCACTCGATGAAATAGAAGGGTTAAATTGTACCATAATTGTTTAACTTACCTTAAAAATATTTTTTCAAGCTCAATTGGACTTCCTTGTGTAAACAAATAAATATACAGATATAGCACCCAGACAGCACTTATCACCCCCAATGTCCTTTAAGCCCCTGTCACACCTTGACAGATTAACCAGTGTATTTCTCCCGTACGAATTCTGGCAAAATCGCTGGCATACATTGGATTAGTTATGGGTCAGTTTTGTATAAGTTATGAGCACATTTCACGCTGATACGTATCTCAGTGTATGCCATACTTGGGCCATAAGTTACAGGTAAGTTATCTGATCATTGACATACGTAAAAGGTAAGTTACTAAAGTTGTGGTGTCTAGCTGATCCAAAACCTATGAGTAAATTGTGCATATCAAGAACTTATCTCCAACTCATTTGGTGTGTTCCAAACGACCACTGAATGCGTTTTTAAATTACAGCTACCACATAATGGCGAATTGGTAGCGTTTTGGTATAATAGGGCGTTCTCCAGACTTCATCCCTATCATAGGTAGGGGTGTGGGGAAAAAAATAGATTTGGCGATATATCGTGATTTTCAGCCGTCCGATATAATATCGAATAAAAAAAAAACAAAAAAACATTTTACCTAAAACAGTGAGGGAAAATGGGCTACCTCTGCACCGCCACTCTGGCAGATAGCGCTGTGGAGCCCTTTTGCTTTGCAGCGCAGCACCATAACTGTGGTTGAGGCAGTCACAGTGGAAGACATGGACCGACTCAAACCCCAAACATCATGGGTACCGAAAATAACTAAATGATCAATATCTTCTGATGAACATAGACAGCACTTTTTTTATCTATACATTTAATTTGATAGTTGGGGAAAATATTGCAATATATATATATAGTGATATTGCAGTATCATGACAATATCATATTGTGTCCCAAGTATCGTGATACGTACCGTAAGTCAACGAACATGACAATACTCGCCCCTAATCATAGGGTGAGCGATAAGGTGAGTGTTATGAATTCTCCCTGCATTCACGGTCACTACCAACAAACTTCCTAGCAGACATGACGCTGAATCTGCTGCAACTGTAAACCCTCTCTGGGCGCATTGCTGCCCCCTTCAGGACACTGGCTTGTGACATTTCATGGGCATTACGCTGCTGTGCGTTATGCATAAGTTAGGCCGTCGTTGGACATAAGCTCTGCACTCGTACTGAATACTCTATTTATACACCCAAAATAGAAAAAAAAAATACATAGAAAGTTCAGCACATGCCAGCATTTTAGAAGATTCTGGGACATGTGACAGAGGCTTTACAGAAAGCAACTACCTTGATATCAAAGCCAGCTTTAAATAAGATTAATGAGCATCTTGTGTTACCAGTTCTGTTAAATTCTGCCAGAATGATATAAAAAAATTATACAAATGAATGAACGAACTATCTTACCAGATACTTGTTGGACACAGGAGGGGCCCACTCATAGGTGACTGATTTCATTGGGGCCTGCTGAGGAACTGGAACCACGCTGGCTGCTGTAGCATTAGCAGTGGCCGGTACTTTGGTAGCCTTAACTGGACTGACGACGACATGTTTGGGCTGTACTTGTGGCTTCCACTGAGCTGGTGATGGAGAGCCAGTAGGTGCGGTTCCTGCAGGCGTGAAACCAGGCTGTGCGGCTCCCGCCAGAGTGGCAGGAGGTACGATGGTAGAGGAAGCAGTAGGGGGCACAGTGTGAGCGGTGGTAGGGCTTGGCAGAGTGATGGTGACCATGTTGCCCTGGTACCTGGGGATGCCATCAGTCTTTAGTTTGGCTATGAGGCCCGTGTACTTGGTGTCTTCAAACAGCTTGCCAACCTTCTTGTTTTCCTCTGAATTCATCGACACATCATGCTCAGGAAGGCCACACTTACAGTTCCGACAAATCTTCCTGCACAAGAATAATAAGAAAACCTTTTCAGTGACTTAAAAGAGAAATATCGCTCCCCAGGCCTGCAGGAGTCCTTCCTAGTCTGGAAAAATAGTTTACTGCTGTATAAGAGGACCTTTCTAAAGCAAGAGCAGCATTATGCTCCTCATTAATAGAGGAG